ATACCATACCATACCATACATACCATACCATACCATACATACCATACATACCGTACCAACCATACCATACATACCGTACCAACCATACCATACATACCGTACCAGCTTTATTTATAAAGCACTTTAAATACCCGCAGGACCAACGTGCTGTACAGTACACATAATAAAACAATCATTGAATCAGTCAAAGAATGATTGAAATAATTAAGTCAACTTCACATATGGTGTCAAAGGCCAGGGAGAAGAGATGGTTTTTAAGAAGGGATTTAAAAACAGACAGAGAAGAGTCTGATGTTCATTGAAGGTCATTTCACAGTTCAGGAGCTGCCACAGCAAAAGCACGGTCTCCTCTGAGCTTACGCTTTGTCTTCGGCACACTCTGGAGCAGCTGATCACATGACCTGAGTGATCATTCAACCTTTATTTATATAGGTTAGCCCCATTGAGCCTTGGGGACTCATTTACAAGAGCGATCTGAATCTGGATCGAAAGGGTGTGTATGGATGTAGCAACTTTTGACAGATAGGGAGGCGCAAGTCTATTAAGAGCTTTAAAAGCAAATAAAACATTTTTTAAATGAATCCTAAAATGTACGGGCAGCCAGTACAGGGAGGCTAAAACATGGGAAATGTGGTCAAACTTTGGTGTGCCAGTTAAAAGCCATGCAGCTGCATTCTGTACCTCTGAAGCTGACAGATAACTGAATCACTGATTCCTGTATAGAGTGCGTTACAGTGGTCCAGGTGAGTGGTCACAAAAGCGTGGATTACTGTTTCGAAATGCCGCTGAGAAAGAATCAGCTTTATTTTCACTAGCTGCAAATGGAAAAAAAAAAGTTTTAACAGCTCTGATGTGATTTTTCCAGCTTTAGTCCAGCATCAACTTTGACCCCCAGGTTTGTGATGGTTGGCCTGATGTACTGGGCCAGGGAACAAACATCTACCGGTACATTGGGAGTCTCAGTGGAGCTTGCAAAGACCATCACCTCAGTCTTTCCCTCATTGAACTTTAAGAAGTTCACAGCGATCCAGGCTTTTATGTCCTCCAGACATGAAAACAGAGGGCCCAGAGAGTTGGTTCTTTTTCTTTAGTGGGACATATATCTGCATAACAATGAAAGGAGATCCCATATTTTCCAAAAAATAGAGCCAAGAGGGAGCAGGTACAACTTGAAGAGGAGGGGGCCTAAAACTGAGCCCTGCAGGACCCCACACAAAAGAGGAGCAGAGGACACGTGGTCACCAAGGCAGACACAGAAAGCACGCTCGGCTAAGTAGAACCTAAACCAGTCCAGTGCTGTACTGCTGATGCCCCACTCCCATTGTTTGAAACGACAAAGTAAAATCTTATCACTGTGTCAAAAGCAGCCGATCAATCTAAAAGTAGGACAACACAGTCACCAGTCGGTTGCTAAAAATATGTAATTAAAAACTTTTGAAGGGGCAGATTCTGTACTGTAAAGCTTTAAAACCAGACTGTAAAACCTCTAGAATGTTCTAGAGGTTAATGTTCATGTTTGTCTCCAGATGATACAACATAGCTGGTCTCACCACCGTCTTGTAAACCTTTCATTTGACCTTACCCACCATCCATTTGTCACAGTGAATTGCTCAAAACAACTCCATTTTCAAAACCTTCATGAGAAACTGACCACGATGTACAGTTTTCATGGCAACAATTCACTTTAGCCTTGGCTTCACCAGTAAAAGTTGTCAAACCAGACATGTTCAGACTCTCGATCAAAAATCGATCTAAAGATTTAAAAAAAAGTTTGAGCTCTTTCATCAGTGAATATCATTCCTTGCTTGTCTCTAACTGGTATAAAAGAACAGTCCAGTTAATCTTGAAGTGCCATGTCTAATAGTACCGTAACAGCAGTGCCATCAGTTATAGATCGCAGTGTGTGGAGAAAAAGGCAAAAGTCTTCATCCCAGCTAGGCTAATGACTATAAATGAGGGCTTATTTTTAAAACTGTTTGTCAGGCAATATATTCATGTTTTATTTCCGTAAAGGTAAACCTAACATTTCAATCACAATCATGAGAAATTTCCAAAAATATAGGAAGGACCGAAACGAAGAAGTATTTGAATTTTTGACATTTAAAATGTAAAGCTAGTTTGCTTTAGTCGCAACAAACAACGCAAGTGGATAGAAGATGACGGTAAGAATAAATCTTCTCTTCAGAGCTTTTTGTTAGCAAGCTAGCTTTTGCTAACGGACTGTTATCATCACAAACGCACACCAAGCAGGTTAAACTGGAAAACAACTTTCATGCGTTTAAAATTTCTACAGCCATTGAAAAACTTGATAGTCGCACACTTTCCCTCCTAATACAGCCAAAACAAAATTACATTATTAAAAAAAAAAAGCCTCATGGGCACGTAATGGTTAATGAACTATTCCTCCCTGAAGAGCTGGAAAAGTTTACTGTGGAAAGAGATGTCTGGATCTTTCTGCTCAACCTGTTGTCTCCACAACCTGACTCTGGAACAAACGGAAGATGTTTCATTGATTGATTGCTGGAGTTTACCACTTGCAGTTTGGATACAGAAAAAAGAACTCTTAATTGACCCAGAAATGCGGATGTCCAATTGGCAAAACTGGAGACATCGTACAAACGTAACAGCCATTTCAAAATTACATATTTTCAGTGTTCTGCCCAGGGAGCAGAAACGCACCAAAGATTTGTGCTCAATTACCAAAATGAGTAGATCAGCGGGCATCTTGGTTTTCAAAATGTTCGCAATCAGTCGAAAGTCACCGATTGCATCTTTGCAAAAATGAAACTGCTGGTAAAGCATATAAAACACGACAGCTGAGTTAAAATCAGTTTCTCAGCTCCTTTAGAAGCAAAGAAAAGCTGACACTATTACATTTACTAACTCCATCCAGTTGCTTATTACTCACTTAATTTATACTGTATTTTTTGCCATATACGTAGGTCGCACCTTTTTGCATAAATTAGCATGCCTACGACTTATACATTGAAGCGACTAATATACATCCCCCCCCCCCCGTATTGGCTGAGATCAGACGATTTCATTCATTCTGACATGGAAAATATTGAACACTACCATTTTCAGCCACTAGAGGTCCCTCGAGTGATAAGCCAAGCGAAGTGTCTCATTAATACCTTATTTTCTGCCATACACGTTGCTCTGCCCTATAATTCGCATCAGTCCAAATATGTCTAATAAAGTGGAAAGATCCATAAATGCGTTGCTTCGCCGTATATGTTGCATCTATTATGCGTCACTGCTGACAACACGGAAATGTGGGTCGGTGTTGTGCCAAAAATCGATTGGCTGCCAAATGGCAGCTGCGGGAGCGTGCACGGGAGGAATTGAACAAGTAACACTTAAAAACAATTATTTGTTTGCTCGGTATTATAGCAAAGGTGTGTCTCAGTTGAACCTTTACTTGATAAATGCACTGCAATGGTCAAATCAGCTGCATTTCGTCGGGGCGGAGCAGCAAAATGAAGCTGATTTGACGGTTGCTTCAGGCGTGCTGGACGAAGGTGGCAGGCTATGGCAAGTCGATTGTGTCATTAATAGCCACTTTTACCTACTACATGACACAATGGCATGCCATACTACTCGAGTGCCATCTAGCGGCTGAAAATGGTAGTGTTCAATATTTTCAGTCAGAATGAATAACGTCATATCTCAAAGATTGTTTTATAAATATGGGGAAAAAACATAAGTCTCTTCAGTGTATAAGCTACAGGACATGTAAATTATGCAAAAAAAAACGCAACGTATAGGGCGAAAAATACGGTAGGTAAAAGTGGCTATTAATGAGACACTTGGCTTGCCACAGTTGCCACCTTCGTCTCGATCTATACTATAATGCTATACTATAATGTCGAGTAAACAAATAATTGTTTTTAAGTGTTAATCTTGTTAAATTCTTGCTAAATTCCTCCCGTGCCCACTCCCGTGGCCGCCATTTGTCTGCCAATTGATTTTTGGCACAACACTGGCCAATGTTTCCGGGTGGTCAGCGGTGACGCGTAACAAACGTGACGCATCAGCGATGATGCATAATAGATGTGACTTATACGGCAAAGAGACATGTTTTTTCCACTTTATTAGACATATTTGGACTGATGCAAATTATAGGGTGGTGCGATGTGTACGGCGGAAAGTATGGAATTTACTTACTGCAACCGTATCTGAAATCTTGACAGACATTGAGTTCAAATTATGCAAACAAAACACGATTTATAGGCTGAAAAATACGGTATATCAATGATGAAACTTCACTTCATGATTTTTAAAAATATTAGCTGTAGAGAAGAAAGTTACATCGCACTCTTCAAAGTTTCTTCAGATGTTTTCTAGGTTTTAGTAATTATTCTGTTTTTCCTGCAAGTACCCAGACTGTTGTGCACTTACCAGGTCTGCTCCACTTGCTGACTGGGCCAGTCCAGGCGACACTGGTGGCCTGTGGTACCATTGACCTTTGGGAATGTCTTGAGGACGCTGAAGACAGGATAGGGCACCATGATTAGCAGCGACACCATCCAGGTGGCAGCGATGACACGGTAGGCATGGGAGCGAGTCTGCCATGCACGTGATTTCAGGGGGTTACAGATGGCGCTGTACCTCTCGATGGCGATGGCCACCAGGCTGAAGGTAGAGATGCTGACAGAGACCCCTGAAGAAGTAGAAAAATTGGCAAACAGTAGAAAATCAGTCCATTTTTGAGCCCATCAAGCTCTGATAGAAATGCAGTTAAGAAATGTCATGGTCTTCCATTATCTGTAACCTCTGAACCATCTTTCTGGAAATAGCACTTTTTTTCTGATCATACAGAACAAATCCAGTTGGAGAAAATGACAAATACCACCGACATCCGTGTGCCTTACAGGATAAAATCTCTTTGTGCTACAGAGAAAACCAAATTACAGTAATTATGTACACGTTTTCAGAAAGTATTTAAATTCAGATATGCAGGTGAGGTTTTTGGTCACTGAAGAGAAATGGATAAGATAAGATAAGATACGGTTTTCTGAGACATCCTCATTAGATGTCACAGAATAGTCCAGTAAAGTTTATATCTGTTCTCACTTGAGTGTCAGGTCGCCCTCTGAGTGATGAGGCCTTCCGATTATGACAAAAATAGTTTGGTAGCTTTGTCATACCAATAAACTTTGTTCAAATGAGATTCTTCTGACAATCCGAGGTCAGATTCTACCACATGGATTAGTCTCATCACTGGGATGTTCTGCTGGACCTTTTTGTAATTAATTGTCAAAAATCAACAAGTTGGGTGTTCCTATCTCAAATTTCTTTTAGCTACGACATTTGCAAGTATGAAAGAGAGTATCATCTATCTCATTGAAGGTTAATTTTGGTTGTCACACATAACTGAGGTTCTCTTATGCAAGACTATAACTTCTACTTCAAAAAATCAGGACGGAGGCATCCTAAAGAAGACTTTCTTGAATTTATTTTTGGGACTGATAACCTTTTAATTCAAATATCCATTTGCCATATGTCACAAAATATTTTTGATTTGAAGCTATTAGAAATGGTAAATGGACTGCACTTATATATAGCGCCTTTCTATCTTATCAAGATACTCGAAGCGCTTTACAACACAACCTGTGCCTCATTTACCCAGTCATTCAGCACTCTGCTAGATCTATACAAAGCTAATTGAACAATTCATTCTAAAGGGAATAATCAGAGCTTTATCACATTCATACACCGATGGAACACACATCGGAGGCAGTGAGGGGTTCAGTGTTTTGCCCTGGGACTCTTCGGCATGTGACTGCTGGTGGATTCAAATCCCCAACTCTTGCATTGGACGACAACTGCTCTAACCACTCAACCACAGCCACCCTTCAGAACATCAGTCCAGATTTTTTATTCTTCCAATTAGAAGCTTTTAACTTATTTTTCATCTTAATCCCATTCTATGGGATCATTGATGTGCTGTTATCAAACACAAGACTGAGATCAAGTCAACTTTATTGTCATTCACATGTGGTACATGAGGTGAAATGAAAATATGTACACAGGGTCCCAGTTACACCCAAAAATAGCAAAATATAAAGTATCAAAGGAAACGGTATACAGACCTTTTCCAAAAAAATTAAATATCATGGAAGAGTTGTTTAACTTTCATAATTCCATTCTACAAGTTGATCTTTAATAGATGATAAATTCAGGGCCCTCAATTTAAACGATTTCAAGTATCACAACAAATCAATCAAATATGGTACTTTCAAAATATGTCAATCTTCAGTACTTGGTTGGGTACTTTGTCTTGATCACTGCCTCAATGTGACGTGGCATTGAGGCGATCAGCCTGTGGCATTGACTGGGAGTTATGGAAGCCCAGATTTCCTTGATGCTTGCTGTCAGTTCTTCTTTGTTTTTGGGTCTGGTGCCCCTCATTTTCCTCTTGAGAATGCCCCATAGTGTCTCAATGGGGTTTAGGTCCAGCGACTTGGCTGGCCAGTTGAGCACTGTGGCATGAGCATCAAACCAGGTTTTGGTGCTTCTGGCAGCATGGGCAGAGACCAGGTCCTGCTGGAAGATGAAATGTGCATCTACATACAGATCCTCAGCAGAAGGAATCATGAAGTCCTCTAAAACATTCTGGTAGACTGTTGCAATGATTTTGTATTTAAGAAAGCAGAGTTTACCAACACCTGCACTGGACATTGTACCCCAAATCATGACTGACTGTGGATATTTCACACTGGACCTCAAGTAGTATGGGTTCTGTTCCTCAACCTTCTTCCTCCAAACCCTTGGACCTTTATTTCCAAATGAAAGGCACAGTTTACTTTCATCGGAAAAGAGGACCGAGGAACCCGACAGTTGTAGTCCATCTCCCGAACGCGTCTGAATGTGGTGGTTTTTGAAGCTGTGACACCCGCCTCTTTCCACTCTTTCTGGATCTCTGACAGATTCTGGAATCTTCTCTGTTTGATGATCCTTTGAAGCCCACGGTCATCTCTTGCTGGTATATCTTCTCCTGCCACATTTTGCCCTTCCACTAGACTTTACATTGATGTGCTTGGACACAGCACTCTGAACAGCCAGCCTCCTTGGCTATGAACTTTTGTGGTGTACCCATCCTATGGAGGGTATCAATGATGGTCATCTGGCCAGTTATGTCTGCAGTCTTCCACATATTGAATCAAACTGAGACAACTGAACCAAACTGAAGCAATTTAATGACACCTGGGGAAACCTGTACAGGTGCTTTGAGTTTAGTAGATGATTAGTGTCACACTCAGTTTAAAACACTCATGTCCTGCAAAATTTGGGCCGATTTCTCCACAGTATTCTAATTTTTTGAATTCCTGTTTTCGTGGGTTTCTTGAGCTGGAAGCCCAAATTATGCAAAAATAAACGAATAAATACTTGAAATCATTTAAATTGTGGGCCCTGAATCTATCATCTACTAAAGATCAACTTTTTGAATGGAATTATGGAAGTTAAACAACTTTTCCATGATATTCAAATTTTTTGGAAAGGGTCTGTATAATGATCTAAGATATACACTAAGATACACGTCAAACACTAATAATGTAAAACAGTACAGCAGCAGCCCGGACATGAGTCTGTGGTGAGCAGATAGGTATGAATGAATACAGTGGCATGAGATCAGCAGCATGGATAATCAGCAGCACATATCACAAATTAAAGTGGCATAACAGTTTCAGTCTAGTGGTTCTACACTTAATGCTCCTCAACCTCCTGACTGAGGGGAGTAGGGGAAAAAGTGTGTGTGCTGGGTGAGTGGGGTCCTTCGTGATGCAGGTGGCCATCTTCCTACATCTGGAAGTGTAGATGTCTATGATGGTGGGGAGGCTGACTCTAAAGGTCTTCTGTGTAGCTTTCACCACTCTCTGCAGCACTTTCTGTAGAGCTCTGGATGAAGGATATTTGGACATATAGATGGAGGTAGTTGGAGTGAGGACAGAGTGAGATGGAGGAGGATGACTCGCTGTGGGACCCCCTTAAGACGGAAAAGCCAAAAGAAGAAGAAAGCAGTCATCTGCAACTTTGCCACTAGATGGCACTAAATATGGGACAAAGTTCCTTTTAAACCAAACTTACCAATGTTCTTTTTTTTTTCCAGTTTGTGCACATAGAAGATAAAAGCACTACCACCATATCTATACACAACCTTTTTACCCCCTATAATTATAGGGAACTGGTCTTGCTAGTTTTTATATTCCTTAAAAGTATAGTTTCCTCAAATGGTAGGGGTAGCTTGTGGTGGTCATCTTAAATTTTGAAGTGGCAACTCCAAATCTGAAAGAACCCTATAATGTCTAGATGCAGCCACACACGAAAAAGGAAATTGGCCCGTTGCTAAGTTTTTCAAGTTTGGGGTGGCCAAAGAGTAATCTATTGGCGACGCCCTGGCTCCAATATTGCACCCGGTGGTGGATTAAATTGCCACTTCCGCTTGCTAGGATCTGTCCTTCTGCTCCACCGCAAACAAAAGAAAAAGAACCTGACATCACTCCTACCGACTTGAACATTTTGCACTAAAAACAACAAGGTTTATTTGCATTCCCTGTTCAGATCAAGTCCAGAAAAACACTCATCTCGAAAAATAAACACAGTCACTATTTATATCCTTCAGCAACAGGAGACACCAGGGTACTGCTTGTTTTACCTAGTTTGGAGCTCTAAAGAATTTTATTTGGTCTTTTTTGTGGAAAAACTCTTTGACCAAACAGTCTGGTCATAAGGATGTTTCCATGATGGACTACTTTACCGTAAAATAATCCTTATTTGAGCAACAACATTTATTATGACGTTAGTAACACAAGGAAGACAAAAGTCACCTTTGACACGATGTATAAGTTATTATGATGCATTGTTTTCATAGGGGCCAAGTGTGTTCAGAGGTTCAAGTTTATTTGCATTCATGCATATGTATGATCTGCAGCTGGGGAGAAACCTTCTCCAGTGCTCTGAGGGTGAGTCGGGGTGAGACAAATGCAATACACCCATACCTGTGAGTCACAAGCTGTAACTCGGGAGTCGAAAATGCACTCGGCACACAATCCTTTGTCGCTTCAACCTAAATCCAGTTTAATCTGTTTATTCGTCCTTGATGGCAGAAGAACACATCCTGCCTAAACTGTAGTTTTGCATTTGCAGTCAAAGAAATAAATCAGTGCTGTCTAGATTTCCATACAAACAGTGAATCAGGAATCGTTAATTAGACTTGTAAGTTGCTTTAAGTGTTTTAAGAAAAAACATAAATTATTCTCAAAAATCCTGTTGTAATCTATTGAAAGTAAACTCAACTTATTATTGTCAACTGCACAATACATTTTGCCAAATTTCTTTTTTTTTTCAAATTTGTGTTTCTGCTCTTTTTTTATTTATTTTTTTGACAATTTCATACAGTATGCGACTTTTTTGCTGTATAATTAGAACGTGCTGTTGGATGCCTCATATTTACCCCTGGGGATTGATTGATTGATTGATGAATGAATGAATGAAGGGTGTGTAGGTGTGTGTGTTTCAGGTTACCTTGTAAGGACCAATTTTACAAAAAAATCATGAATTATGGGAACAAACTGGTCTTTATGGGGACCAAAGCAGGTCCCCATAAGGAGAAGTCTCGTTGTGGGATTGGGAGTTGGGTTTAGGACTAAGGTGTGAATT